GCATCATGGGAGGAGGTCGCATGCTTCCCTATACCTGCATGCATCGGGCCTAGCACTGCATCGTGGGAGGAGGAGGTCGCATGCTTCCCTATACCTGCATGCATCGGGCCTAGCACTGCATCGTGGGAGGAGGTCGCATGCTTCCCTATACCTGCATGCATCGGGCCTAGCACTGCATCATAAGAGGAGGTCGCATGCTTCCCTATACCTGCATGCATCGGGCCTAGCACTGCATCATAAGAGGAGGTCGCATGCTTCTCTATACCTGCATGCATCGGGCCTAGCACTGCATCATAAGAGGAGGTCGCATGCTTCTCTATACCTGCATGCATCGGGCCTAGCACTGCATCATGGGAGGAGGTCGCATGCTTCTCTATACCCGCATGCATCGGGCCTAGCACTGCATCATGGGAGGAGGTCGCATGCTTCCCTATACCCGCATGTATCGGGCCTAGCACTGCATCATGGGAGGAGGTCGCATGCTTCCCTATACCTGCATGCATCGGGCCTAGCACTGCATCATGGAAGGAGGTCGCATGCTTCCCTATACCTGCATACATCGGGCCTAGCACTGCATCATGGGAGGAGGTCGCATGCTTCCCTATACCTGCATGCATCGGGCCTAGCACTGCATCATGGGAGGAGGTCGCATGCTTCCCTATACCTGCATGCATCGGGCCTAGCACTGCATCATGGGAGGAGGTCGCATGCTTCTCTATACCTGTATACATCAGGCCTAGCACTGCATCATGGGAGGAGGTCGCATGCTTCCCTATAGCTGCATGCATCGGGCCAAGCACTGCATCATGGGAGGAGGTCGCATGCTTCCCTATAGCTGCATGCATCGGGCCAAGCACTGCATCATGGGAGGAGGTCGCATGCTTCCCTATAGCTGCATGCATCGGGCCTAGCACTGCATCATGGGAGGAGGGTCGCATGCTTCCCTATACCTGCATGCATCGGGCCTAGCACTGCACCATGGGAGGAGGTCGCATGCTTCCCTATACCTGCATGCATCGGGCCTAGCACTGCACCATGGGAGGAGGTCGCATGCTTCCCTATACCTGCATGCATCGGGCCTAGCACTGCACCATGGGAGGAGGTTGCATGCATTGGGCCTAGCACTGCATCATGGGAGGAGGTTGCATGCATCGGGCCTAGTACTGCATCATGGGAGGAGGTCGCATGCTTCCCTATACCTGCATGCATCAGGCCTAGCTTTGCATCATGGGAGGAGGTCGCATGCTTCCCTATACCCGCATGTATCGGGCCTAGTACTGCACCATGGGAGGAGGTCGCATGTAACGGGCCTAGCACTGCACCATGGGAGGAGGTCGCATGCATCCGGCCTAGTACTGCACCATGGGAGGAGGTCGCATGCATCCGGCCTAGTACTGCACCATGGGAGGAGGTCGCATGCATCGGGCCTAGTACTGCACCATGGGAGGAGGTCGCATGCTTCACTATACCTGCATACATCAGGCCTAGCACTGCATCATGGGAGGAGGTGGCATGCATCGGGCCTAGCACTGCATCATGGGAAGAGGTGGCATGCATCGGGCCTAGCACTGCATCATGGGAAGAGGTGGCATGCATCGGGCCTAGCACTGCATCATGGAGGAGGTGGCATGCATCGGGCCTAGCACTGCATCATGGGAAGAGGTGGCATGCATCGGGCCTAGCACTGCATCATGGGAGGAGGTGGCATGCATCGGACCTAGCACTGCATCATGGGAGGAGGTGGCATGCTTCCCTATACCAGCATGCGCCGGACCTAGCACTGCATCATGGGAGGAGGTGGCATGCGTCGGACCTAGCACTGCATCATGGGAGGAGGTGGCATGCGTCGGACCTAGCACTGCATCATGGGAGGAGGTGGCATGCGTCGGACCTAGCACTGCATCATGGGAGGAGGTGGCATGCGTCGGACCTAGCACTGCATCATGGGAGGAGGTGGCATGCGTCGGACCTAGCACTGCATCATGGGAGGAGGTGGCATGCATCGGGCCTAGCACTGCATCATGGGAGGAGGTGGCATGCGTCGGACCTAGCACTGCATCATGGGAGGAGGTGGCATGCTTCCCTATCCCCGCATGCGCCGGACCTAGCACTGCACCATTGCATCATGTTATGAGTGGAGTGGGGGGAGGGGTTAGACCCTCTGGCGTGTCGGATATTTTCTGTGCACACAGGTGACATGTTTTGTTCTCATGTATTGGATCTCTCCGCAGGTCTTGCGATTTCTTCGGCTGTTTGGCCCCGGGAAGAGCGTGCTGTCAGTTTGGCGCAGCGCCCGCAGGAAGAGGAGGAAGAAGCATCGGGAGCAGACGCAGGAGCCGCAGACCAAAGAAGGAGAAGAAGTAGAGGCAGCAGCAGAGAAGAAGTCCTGCTGGGACTATGAATATGCACCACCCCCACCGCCTGAGCAGTGCCTCTCCGATGACGAGGTGACAATCTCGGGGGGATCCCCTGGGACCACCTTCCCACCAGTGACCGCACCCCAGTCCCTAATGGAAGGGAGTGCCTTGGTGTGAGGGATGGGGCGGGGGGGTGTGAGGGATGGGGGCGGGGTGTGAGGGATGGGGGCGGGGTGTGACCTCCTCAGATGTATCTGGAAGTCAGGGCTTCTCTTGGATTGGTGGGAGGTGAAAGGCGCCTTCAGCCAATGTTGTGTCTGCTCATAGGAATGTTACTTTTGTGGTTAAAGCAGAACTCCGGGATAATCCATTCATCACATATATATATATACACCTCCGGAGTCTCAGCGAGCTTCATGAATGTCTCCCAGATCTGTGCCGTCACCCAGGGTGGGGCTTCCTAGAATACAGACCGCTCATTGCCGCTCTCTGTCCTTGTGCAGGGGCACTGGTCTGGTCTCCGCCCCCTCCTGTTGTGGGTGGAGCCTACTGGGCCCCTTTCATTGCTCTGCTCTCTGTCCTTGTGTAGGGGGACTGGTCTTGTCTCCGCCCCCCCTTCTGTAGTGGGTGGAGCCTACTGGACCCCTCTCATAGCTCTGCTCTCTCCCCTTGTGCAGGGTAACTGGTCTTGTCTCCACCCCCCCTTCTGTAGTGGGTGGAGCCTACTGGACCCCTCTCATAGCTCTGCTCTCTCCCCTTGTGCAGGGTAACTGGTCTTGTCTCCGCCCCCCTTTCTGTAGTGGGTGGAGCCTACTGGACCCCTCTCATAGCTCTGTTCTCTCCCCTTGTGCAGGGTGGCTGGTCTTGTCTCCGCCCCCTTCTGTAGTTTTCTGTAGTGGGTGGAGCCTACTGGACCCCTCTCATAGCTCTGCTCTCTGTCCTGGAGCCCCAGCTTAGCCGCCCCCCATGTGTACTCTCCTGGCTGGACGTTTAGAAGGTTGGGGGGGGGGGGGGGGAGGAAGCTGCAGCGGCGGCCATGTTTTTGGTAAAGAATACATTTGGAAATGATCAGCACGCGTGGTGAAGGGAATGTTCATGTAGTGATGAGCGTGTAACGTGACCTGAAGCGTGTTGTTGATATGTTCATGTGTGTGATGTCCCTCCCATGTCCTTCCTGCAGATCACCATGATGGCTCCTGTGGAGTCCAAGTTCTCTCAGTCCACCGGAGACACGGATAAGGTGGCCGACACCAAGCCGAAGATCGCAGAATGGCGCTACGGCCCGGCGCAGCTGTGGTATGACATGCTGGGGGTGTCCGAGGACGGGAGCGCCTTCGACTACGGCTTCAAGCTGAAGGAGGAGGAGGAGGAGGAGGAGGAGGTGACAGAGAAGGTAATGGTGAGCTGCAGATCCGTGTCACCCGCTCCCCCCGGATTCATCCACTCTCCCCGGACCCCGCATTCACTATATCCGCTCTCCCCGGACCCCGCATTCACTATATCCGCTCTCCCCGGACCCCGCATTCACTATATCCGCTCTCCGGACCCCGCATTCACTATATCCGCTCTCCCCGGACTCCGCATTCACTATATCCTCTCTCCCCGGGACCCCGCATTCACTATATCCGCTCTCCCCGGACCCCGCATTCACTATATCCGCTCTCCCCGGACCCCGCATTCACTGTATCCGCTCTCCCCGGACCCCGCATTCACTGTATCCGCTCTCCCTGGACCCTGCATTCACTGTATCCGCTCTCCCGGACCCCGCATTCACTGTATCCGCTCTCCCCGGACCCCGCATTCACTATATCCGCTCTCCCCGGACCCCGCATTCACTATATCCGCTCTCCCCGGACCCCGCATTCACTATATCCGCTCTCCCCGGACCCCGCATTCACTATATCCGCTCTCCCCGGACCCGCATTCACTATATCCGCTCTCCCCGGACCCCGCATTCACTATATCCGCTCTCCCCGGACCCCGCATTCACTCTCCCGGACCCCGCATTCACTATATCCGCTCTCCCCGGACCCCGCATTCACTATATCCGCTCTCCCCGGACCCCGCATTCACTGTATCTGCTCTCCCCGGACCCCGCATTCACTATATCCGCTCTCCCCGGACCCCGCATTCACCATATCCGCTCTCCCCGGACCCCGCATTCACTGTATCCGCTCTCCCCGGACCCCGCATTCACTATATCCGCTCTCCCCGGACCCCGCATTCACTGTATCTGATCTCCCCGGACCCCGCATTCACTATATCCGCTCTCCCCGGACCCCGCATTCACTATATCCGCTCTCCCCGGACCCCGCATTCACTATATCCGCTCTCCCCGGACCCCGCATTCACTATATCCGCTCTCCCCGGACCCCGCATTCACTATATCCGCTCTCCCCGGACCCCGCATTCACTATATCCGCTCTCCCCGGACCCCGCATTCACTATATCCGCTCTCCCCGGACCCCGCATTCACTATATCCGCTCTCCCCCGGACTCCGCATTCACTATATCCTCTCTCCCCGGACCCCGCATTCACTATATCCGCTCTCCCCGGACCCCGCATTCACTATATCCGCTCTCCCCGGACCCCGCATTCACTATATCCGCTCTCCCCGGACCCCGCATTCACTATATCCGCTCTCCCCAGACCCTGCATTCACTGTATCTGATCTCCCCGGACCCCGCATTCACTATATCCGCTCTCCTGGACCCCGCATTCACCGTATCCGCTCTCCCCGGACCCCGCATTCACCGTATCCGCTCTCCCCGGACCCCGCATTCACGTATCCGCTCTCCCCGGACCCCGCATTCACCGTATCCGCTCTCCCCGGACCCCGCATTCACCGTATCCCGCTCTCCCCGGACCCCGCATTCACCGTATCCGCTCTCCCCGGACCCCGCATTCACCGTATCCGCTCTCCCCGGACCCCGCATTCACTATATCCGCTCTCCCCGGACCCCGCATTCACTATATCCGCTCTCCCCGGACCCTGCATTCACTATATCCGCTCTCCCCGGACCCTGCATTCACTATATCCGCTCTCCCTGGACCCCGCATTCACTATATCCGCTCTCCCAGGACCCTGCATTCACTATATCCGCTCTCCCTGGACCCCGCAATCACTATATCCGCTCTCCCCGGACCCCGCATTCACTGTATCCGCTCTCCCACAGTACACAGACCATGGAAATGAAATTATTTTAGTAACTATAAACTGTTAAATCCCTTTTCCCATCAGCAGTATAGAGCAGTCTTGTGACTTCTATCAGTGTCCAGCAGAGCACTAGTTAAAGCTTGTAGGAGGAGTTTTCATTCTCCTTTGATTGTCCTATGATGCTGCATGACCCCTGACCCTCTGGACAGTGCTGATTGGCCCTGTGCCAAGGGTGGACTGACAACTCATGGGGCCCCCGGGCAATAGGGGATCATGGGGCCCCTGTGTCCTTGCCCAAACTAAAAAAAAGCCAATGAAAAAGGTACCAGGGGCATCTCATGGGGCCCCCTACTGACCCCGGGCCCTCAGGCAGTGCCCGAGTTTCCAAATGGTCAGTCTGCCCCTGCTCTGTGCTGATCACATGCACCCTTCCAGATAAATAAAACTCTTTAGCAATACAGACCAAACTGAGCATGTGCAGCTTGCCCCCAAGGCTCTGTACTATCAGCAGATGGATTGGGGACATTAGAAGGGGAGGATCAGAGAAGACAGGATCAAACAGCCAATGCGGAGTGTTAACCCCTTAGGTTCCCCAGTGAGTATACCCAGCATGCTTTGCTGCCTGTCCAGACGGATGTCACTGTTGGGGGTTGTTGCTGATTGGGCCTGTGTTGTGTTTCAGAGGGCGGAGCCCCCCGAGGAGCCCCCGGAGGGCCAGTTTCAGGATGAACACTTCCTGATGGTGACACAACTTCAGTGGGAGGACGACGTCATCTGGAACGGGGAAGACGTGAAGCACAAAGTGACCAAGACGCAGAGAGCGAGCCTGGCGGGATGGCTTCCTTCCAGCATGACCCGCAACGCCACGGCGTACAACGCCCAGCAAGGTACACGCGTGTCCCCCCACACCCGGCACCATGACGTGCACACGGGACGCTCATCCTGTCCATGCTTTGTGTAGGACTCAGCCGGACCGGATCACTGCTCAGCCTCCCCACACCGCTTGTGCAGAAACCCAGCCTGTCCGGAGTCCTCATCCCATCCAAAGGGAAGGAGAAGCATCCTCCCGAACAGCAAGGCAAGTGACTGACACCACCACCACCGATGCGGGGTCACCGCTCGGCCCATGCGGGGTCACCGCTCGGCCCATGCGGGGTCACCGCTCAGCCCATGCGGGGTCACCGCTCAGCCCATGCGGCTCTATTAGATGCCGGGGTCACCGCTCAGCCCATGCGGCTGTTAGATGTCGGGGTCACCGCTCAGCCCATGTGGCTATTAGATGTCGGGGGTCACCGCTCAGCCCATGCGGGGTCACCGCTCAGCCCATGCGGGGTCACCGCTCGGCCCATGCGGCTGTTAGATGTCGGGGTCACCGCTCAGCCCATGTGGCTGTTAGATGCCGGGGTCACCGCTCAGCCCATGCGGGGTCACCGCTCAGCCCATGCGGCTGTTAGATGTCGGGGTCACCGCTCAGCCCATGCGGCTCTATTAGATGTCGGGGTCACCGCTCAGCCCATGCGGCTCTATTAGATGCCGGGGTCACCGCTCGGCCCATGCGGCTCTATTAGATGTCGGGGTCACCGCTCAGCCCATGTGGCTGTTAGATGTCGGGGTCACCGCTCGGCCCATGCGGGGTCACCGCTCAGCCCATGCGGCTCTATTAGATGTCGGGGTCACCGCTCGGCCCATGCGGGGTCACCGCTCAACCGATACGGCTGTTAGATGTCGGGGTCACCGCTCAGCTCATGCGGCTGTTAGATGTCGGGGTCACCGCTCAGCCCATGCGGCTCTATTAGATGCCGGGGTCACCGCTCAGCCTATGCGGCTCTATTAGATGTCGGGGTCACCGCTCAGCCCATGCGGCTGTTAGATGTCGGGGTCACCGCTCAGCCCATGCGGCTCTATTAGATGTCGGGGTCACCGCTCAGCCCATGCGGCTGTTAGATGTCGGGGTCACCGCTCAGCCCATGCGGCTGTTAGATGTC